CGAATTGATAGGAGTTGCGAGCGCACCAGGCACGCCGCATATCTCGAGGCCCTCCTCCCCTGGCGGAAGCAGCGCTGCTGCTCTTCATAATTTGACACTCGCCGCGGCTGAGAATACCGCGAGTGCGAGCAGTGTGCCCAAGAAGGCAAGTTCGCTCAGATCGGAGCCTTTCACTAGAATCAAACATAAAAGCAAGACGGATCCTCTTCGAGCACTTCCAGGTGTGGTGAGTTGAGCCATGGTCATACCCGTACCTGTGATGCGCAAATGGCTCTGACCGACCGAATCCACTTACGCCCCGCCCAGATCTCGCAAAGGATCTTCTTGTCGTTGCCAGTGCAGGCTTTGAAGTCGTGCTCGCTCGTGTGCAGGAGATGGAGAAGATCAGCCACGTTGAATTATTGCTGGTACCGCATCGTCCAATCCCAATCAATGCAAGGAGATACGACTCCGAGCGCGCCAAGCAGCACTCTTCTCGACGTGGTCAACTCCACCTCTACAGGCGCAGGAGCGCGTTGGACGCGTCGAGAGAGCAAAGTGGACTGGTTGACCTCGTATGGCAAGCAAAGGCAGAGAGAGGCGCGAGACGAAGCGAGGTACGGATCAAATTCGGGCAACAGTTCGGGCTACGCCACTCCCAGTCGAAGTCAAAGATTGGCAGATGCGGGCATTCAGACGGCAAAGGACAGGAACGAGGAACGTTGGCAGGCAGAAGAGAATTCGGAGTGGAGCAAACAAGACATGAGAGATTATTACAAGAATCAGGGAAGTAGAGGTGGCAAGCTTAGAGGCAAATCTGGAAAGGGTGGAGCAAAGACGGGATCGGCTAATGATGGAGGGCTATGGGAATGATTGCAGGCCCTGCGCCACCTGCCCTCTCCCACGTCCCGCTCCGCCCGCTATACCGCTCATCTTGTTACAGTCCGACGCTTCTTGCCTCCTTCATGCCACCACCTCTTCATCCTGTATCCCTATCTGTATGCACGATTCTTGAGCTTGTGCCACTGCCCGATCGTCTGTATGATTTTGATCTCGCAACACGCAATATGCATGTGACGGATGGTATCATTTGAATCTTGTTGACAAAAAGCGCGTAGGGTAATGGAATGAGTACAAATACATGGGCCAGGCTGAAGCGTGAGCTTTGCAGCAATCGGAGATCCGAAACTAAACACAAAAAAGTCAAGGCAAAATTCTCTTGATCAACGCATCGTACTCGTCGTCCTTGAGCTTCTCGAACCGAGGACCCAGGAAAGCAGGACTTGGACCTGCTCCTCCTCCTCCTCCTCCTCCGCTGCTGGCATGTGAATCTTGGCCTGCGCCATTCAGAACGGTGGATTGAGAGGGAGCATGGTACAGCTTGGCGCTGGACTGCGAAGAAGCTGCGCTTTGCGAGGCCATCTTCATGAAGGTGGACCGCTCCGCTCGATAGATTCTGCGCGCATGCGTGCATGCGTGGTCGATCAGAGTGTGATGTGTCAGAAGCTGGCGGTCGAGACGATAGGCAAGCACGAGCGGACCGAGCTTGAGGAGCTGTTTGTGGGCCACATCGCTCGACGATGTTCGAATGCCGCCTCTCACCTGAACAGCTCGGCATGAGCGACTTGTCCCTCCGTCATACTGTCGAGAACCTTGCGCTTGAAGATGGACTTGATGAAAGAGAGGACGTGGGAGAGGAGATGTTGTCGAGGTCTCCAGCTTGGGAAACGCGACGCCAAGAGGAGACGACGTGTGCTTGGCTGTTCGGTGTGGAGAAGCGAGACGTAAAATTGATGTGCGCGGTCATGGAGATGAGTATCGGCGTAAGCATAAGCATCGGCATCAGCATCAACGTCAGACGAGTCAAGAAAGGAGGTGAAAGCACATGCGCAACTCAAATTCGCATCTACTCGACGCTGGACTCACGTCGACCAGAGGATGAGCGCAAGACTCGTCCATCGTCACCTCTGGTGCTCTATTCGCGCTCACGTATCGGATCTGAAATCTAAAGATGGCGCCGGCATAGTAGCCCTTGTGCACAAAGACCACGCCATTGTATATTGTCGGGTTGGTCGTGGGACACAAGTAGAGGCCCGATGGGACATTGGCCGGCTGACGTAATTGGGCGCTGCGACACGAGTGTGAGTACAGGTGAATAGTTAGAATGAGCCCTGCTGCCGCTGCAGAGCGGATTGACACAGACGAA